GTTTGATACTTTTCTTTAACTTAATAATATTAACCATAGACACTTTTTGCCTGGAGTACAAACTGGGTCACAGTATTCTCTGGTAAACAATTAAGTTCTTTTCCAAATATATGCTCAGCTAATAGAAACAGCATTCCTAGATTTTTTATTTTTTTTTTGTTTTTTTTTAAAGGGCTTCAGCTGTTTTAATGTCAACTTGTGCTGGGAATACTATGACTACATACAACCCTTTTCAGCTTTCAATCACTTGCATCTTATGTACAAAGTATGAAAAACAAAAACATCAAATTTTGAGAAATAATTTATTTATGAAACAATTGCATATAATTATAAAGCCAAACATTAATATATCAAGATTATTGCAATTATCACCATTTGCAGATTCTTGTTTAACTATGGTAGATGGAAGTATTAGTTGCCTTTTACATCACTTTTCACTTCCTGAAACAAAACAAAATGATTTTCTTAATCATCCATCTGAAATAATAAAATTAGCAAAAAAAAAAAAATCTTTAGTTTAAATTAGTTTAATACATCAAAACAAAACAAGAAAAAAGTGATTGAATGAGATGAATCATGGCATAGATATCTATAAAATTTTGCTTTAGTGATAAAGGGGGAAAAATTTAAGTTATTTTAAGTGAAACATAAGCTAGAGAAATAAACTATTAGGCCTAATTTAAATAATTTAATTCCTTTCTCCCAAAACACTACATGTATCCTTAAAAAAAGAAAACTTAAAATTTATCAATATTTACCTTGTGTATAAACTCTTCTGTACATCTACTGTATCAGCTTGACGCTCATTAGCTATGCCTAGTTCCTGTTGAGCAGTTAAGACAGATTAAGTAAATAATTCAAATTTGTAAGACAAACCACTAAATGATACTGTTTTATATATATATATATATATATATATATATATATATATATATATATATATATATATATATATATATCCTTCCTGCAAATCAGCATATTTTGCAAAACAAATATTTAAAAAAATACATAATGATATTGTATCAATCATCACCACTGACTTGGTTTTACTAGGTAAAATATTTTTTTAAATACAATATTTATACAAATAAAAATCTATCTCAATCAACATGTTCAAAATAAACCAAAGCAAACTTGTGATAACTTACCTGATTAATGTTTGAGAGGATTCACCCAGTTCTCGCCACTGAAGCAGATTAGATGCATGTGTTATTACACTTGTGATATACTGATTGCCATTTTGTGTACTTTTAGTCCTGGAGATCTATGTTGTAGGCATAGACTGTTAAACCTGGATAGTAATATTATAGAAGTAAATTATATCTAGTATAATATAAATATTTTAAAATATAAATGACACTAAATTATATTTATCATTATTGGAAATAAAAATGGTACAATTAAGTTATAAAAAAACAAATTATAAAATTTAAAGCAGCTTATTAATAATTGTCATACCTTTTCCTACTTTTATGTCAAATGTAAGAGGTAATAGAGAAAGAACATCTTGTGTCATTTAGTATGCTGTAGTCTTATTACTGGTAAAAATCAGATCTTCCCTTTTTTTTGGATGAACCTGTAAAAGAGAAATTACAACATGGATAAACACAATGAATATCATATCTAATCCTCAACTAGTTATCACCCCAATCCTAACCTCATTTTTTAAAACCAATTTCTAAATATGTTTTCAGAACAAATGTATGTTAAGTCTACCTATTTTAATGTTCAGAATACTAATATTTATCAAAACTACCTCCAGTTGAAATTCAAGATACCTTTATAAAAAGTTATTATGACTTTAACTTTGTGTAGTTGTTATTTAGGCTATTTGTTTAATTTATATTATTTAAATTAATATTTCATGCCTTGTTTTAAAAAGATCTACAAGTCTACTTTTGATTTTATGGTATAATCTGATAAAAATTAGGCTGCTACATCTGAAAACTAAGGTCAATGCAAAGACTTCCAAATTAACGATAAGTAGGCTTGTATAGATATTGTATATAATTACTAGCCCAATAGTATTACTCTACGACCAATGTATAGGACTTAATGTATCAGACCTAATTCCTATAATTAGGCCTACTAATTATTAAATAATTAATAGATCTAACAGTAGGATAATTACAATTATGGGCCTTAGCTGACATAGAGAGCTGAATACTTAACTAAACATTTTTAAAAATGATAGTAAGCTAAGTGAGTTGAATTATTTTATTTAGATAGGCCTAGGCTATAATATACTCTATAGCAGTCTATAGTGATAGTCGCAGAGTAGCGTATATCATAATAATTTCAAATTAAATCTATAAGCAACATTAAGCCTCTGCCTTGTTGCCTAATTAAAAACTAAAGCCTATTAAGCCTTTTCCTAATAAGCCTTTGGCCTAATTTAAATAACAGCCTATAGGCCCTATAATATATAAATAGGCTAAACTACTTGTAAGACCTAATAGACTAATGACTAAGAGAGTGCTAGGCCCCTTTCCGATATTATATAATAATTGCTTGATCGATATCATAATATCTAACACTGATTACATTAATTTACATAAGGCTATACCATCTTAACTATGAGTAATACTTTTTCTACTAATAAAATAGGCTATCTCTAGTTTAAACTTAGGCCTAATAGTAATTAGTAATTATAATTAAGTAGGCCATTTTATGACATTTATAAAATTTTTAGTAGATGGCCGAGCCTTAAATTTAAATACTAAAATAGATTTAGCATACTATGCCTATTGTTGGTCTAATTAATAATTTATTTTTCATTTAGAATTTTAGATCTCCAAAAGATAGGCCTAGGTCCTAAATAAATTATTTTTATTTTATTGAGCCCGCCTTAATGTATAAGATGTGATCTGTTTTTTTAATAAAAATAACCCTACACAATACTAGTGATTTAACTAATATCTAGTACTACTTTAGGCCTATTTAATTATTTATTAGTAGGCTGAATAAAATCTAAAGCTATAAGGCCTACTTTATTACTATATTTGCCTATTATTCTATAATTAATTTATGTTTTCTTTCAATACATAGTAGATCCTGTGGTACCTCAACATTCTAGTGCCTCGACATACCAGATTTTTTAAATACGAGCAGTTGAGCGAGTAATATTTCGCTTTGAGTTACGCGCAAAATTTGAGATACCGTATTTCACAGTTCATGTAAAAGAAATACCCCCAAAAAGATGCAAATGATTATTTATCGCAGCTATTTATAATAAGCGTCTTACTCATATTTGCAGCATTATGAAAGGGAGAAAGAAATAAACTTCCTAAACAAGTTTTATTTTAAGCTACCAGCACATGAAAGTGACTTAAATTAAGCATGGCAAAAAAGAAGAGAAAAGCTGTCACGAAAATTAAGCTAACGTAATAATTTTATTTAGTATTTATTTAGGCCTTACGTTTAAGTCTTAAGTGCAACAATGCTCAGTGAATTTTAGCCATTAATGGCATTAAGTTTAGGAATGATGTGTACTTGTGTAGCTTTAACTTTAGTATATTTTTTTTAGACCTAAGCCTAATCTTGTAGATATAGATTAGATCTACAAACAATTTGAAATAGAAGAGATTTAAAATTGAGTAGATCTAGACTTCTAGATCTAGATCCTAAATGCTGAAGGACAGCTATGCCACAGAAATAATTATCTTTCTATCTAGTCAATCTAGACTATATCTAGATCTAGCTAGTGCTACTGAAAAATTACTAGATTTTCTAGATCTAGAATCTAGATTCTATCATTCATTTACTTTCGACGCACTAGATCACTAGGCATACTTTTAACTTTTTCTCTCTAGTCAATAATGTAGATTTCTAGATCTAAATGTAAATCCTGATCTTGTAGATTTGATTTACGTAGGTTTTACATCAGTGTAAATCGTTGATCAAGTAGATCTAGTCTAGATCTGGACTAGCTCTCGTCAAAACAAAATGGCTGGAATATTAGCTTCAAAACACCTACAGTTTATGCTTTCCTAATTGTGGAGAGCATGTTTAATTATTGTTTTATTTTCAACGACAGTGTTGACTGAGAAACCACCAAAGGGTTTTATTCTCAGCGACACAGTCGGAGAGAGGCTCAACGATTCTGTCGTTGAGATGATCCGCATGGGGTGGAAAAAACAACATGGCTGATAAAGGTCCAAATCTTAAAAAATTCATAAAAAATGTATTTGTAAAATTCTGTCCCAATTTCTTTATAAAATAAGAACCACACGTGGTTTATTTAACTGATTTTGCATAGTTTTGTGTGCAGGCAAGTGTTTATATATTAAAATAAAGTTGATTTAGAGCATATATTGTTTTCAAATCAATTTTTTTATAGGCAAAAATGAAAGAAAATGAAAAGTAATTGCATTAGGCTATAGCTGAACCTCAGTAGATTTTGAAAATGTAGTTGCTTTGTGTATTGGAAATTAATATGATATTAATTTAAAATTAATAAGAGACAGTGGTAAAAACAAAATTTGAAAAATCAGTCAAGAGCTCTGGGCAGGTTTTTGTATGAAAATTATCTCCCTTTGTTCTAATGCTACATACTAGCTTAGTCTGTTGGGCATTGGGGCTATTCACAGTGGGCTGGGAATAGACCCAAGCCCAATAGCTGAGTTACTAGTTACTTTACTTAATACTTAGTGATGCTGTTAGTCACAGTGTTAGTGTTAGTTAGCATGTACAATTTAACCACAGCTCTAAAGGCAGGGGGAAAAGGTCGCATAACCTAGACTTAAGTGAATAATGTAAGCAAACAGAAAAATGCTATTGAATACTGTGCTGGAAATGTGAAAAGTTAACATGGAAAATACCAATCTGAGAAATTGCATTGTTTTTCAGTTATACTTAATAACTTAATATTACTTATACTTCAAGAATTGCATTGAGTTTAGTTTTGAAATGGTTCCTTTAGAGACATATATTTTGTAATACTGCTAAGCCAGAATATTTTTTTTTTACTGTTTTTTTGTTATCCTTTTTTTTTATTTCAGGAGTTTAAACTGATGTATGGCATGATATTTTCCATCAAATCATTTGCAAGTAGACTTTCTCCAATAGACATGTATCCTTTCACTTAGTATTTTTAATAGAAATAACAAAACAAAATTAAATTAAATTAATGTAATTTTTAACGACTAACGATTCTGGTGGCGAGTCAAAAGGTAGGAGGTTTTTGTTTGGAACTAAGGACAACCTTATTTTATTGGAGGTTAATCAGCACTGGTTTATGGATGGTACATTCAAAACAGCTCCTGCATTATTTCACAGCCATACACAGTCCATGCATTGGTCAACAGACAGACTGTTCCATGTGTTTATGCTTTACTTCAAAACATACTCAGCACTCTTACAGCAACTGATGGTCTTGAATACAAACCTGCAACTAATTTTTATTATGATTGGCCTTGAAATGGCTAAGATATTAAAGTGTTGAAAGGGTATTTCCAGAGTGTGAGGTAAATGGATGCTTTTTCTATCTTAATCAAAACATATACAGAAAAATTCAGGACTCTGGTCTTCAACAACGTTCCCAACTTGATAGGGAATTTTCTCTCAAGCTCAGAATGCTACCTGTGTTGGCTTTTCTGGCCATGAACACATTAGTTATACCTTTAATAAATTATCGGAAATTTTCCCACAAGAAGCAATTCCTATTGCAGACTGTTTCAAGGACTACTATATTGGCAGACCACTACGTTGACGTCGGAGACAATCTGTTTCCATTTGATATGTGGAACATACACACACAGGTGCAGAAGACTATATGCCGAAATCAAACAACTCATTTATAGGCTGGCCATTATAGAGTATTTTTGAGGCATAGCTCAAAATCTCTCTTTTTAAAGTTAAAATAAAACACTGCTTTTCTAATGTTTGTTTTGTTTTTAATTATTAATTTTGGTCCCCATCATGTATGGTTATTCATTATAAAAACCTCAATTGGGGGGTTTTTGTCCAGGGGGTTTATGACTGGACACCATTTTTATCATGTCTGCTGTTCTTTTAGATCAATAAAGTAAGTTTTTTGTTCTTTAACTGCAATCACAGGAAGGAAGGTTTTTTAAATTTTACCACCAGTAAATACAAGCTGCACTTCTTTGAGACTCCAAGTGGGCTGAAGTTTATTTTAAACACCGACCTCAATGTGGGCGGCATGAAGGATGTCTTGCACCAAATTTTTAGCTCAGTAAGTTTCTTTTTTATTCTAAAATTTTTACCATAGTTAAATTTTTTAAAGTAATAATTACTCCCCTGATTTTCATTTAGTAAAATTGTGTATGTGCTGGTCATCACTAATGTGAACAGAAAAATAAATATTTGAGTTGTTAATCGCAGTTAACTGACTTTCTTTTAGTTGTACGTGGAGTATGTTGTAAAGAACCCGCTGTGCGAACTTGACAAGCCAATCACAAGTGAGCTGTTCAAAAACAAGCTGGATGAATACATCAGAAATTTACCTCAGTTTCCTGTCAAGGCAGCTGCTTGAATATTTGAGACTCTTATTTTCACTTGATTGTATGTACAACTGTATTTAATATTTATTGACAAGTATGATTTTATTGTGACCATTTTCAGCAAAATAAAAAGTGTAGGTATTTCTGTTTTTTTTTAATTTATTACACTGGTTTTGCAAGCTAAGGAGACAGGATGTGTGTGTGTGTGGGGGGGGGGGGTATATACTTAATGTTGCATTTCTAAGGCATTCAGGATTTTATTTTCTTGTTAACTACTTAGATTTTTATATTTGAGAGGATTAGTTTTTATGTTGTCACATGCAGGGTATAAACAATTTGATATGTGCAACGGCCTTCATCAGTGTAGTAAAAAAATTCTTTACTCAAACTTCAAAGCATTGGTTAAAATGTCAGGGAGGTAACTCAGTACAATACTAAGCTGCTTTCAGTTAAAAACTATTGACCTCCCTTTGTAATGTTGAAGGCGTTCACACACACACACACAGTCTAAAAATAAAGCAACGTAACTTGAAACTATGAATTCACCAGTCTATGGATTTTATACGGTATTAGCAATGAAGTAATTAGCTGAAGGAAAACCCTAAGTAGTATTATTAGTATTAATATAAAAATCAGTTATTGTGAAGCACATACAGAGTTTCTTCTAGGCATCTCTTCGGAAGCCCCCCCCGAAAAATTTTTACCGCCCCCCCCGAACGAAATGAAATTTATATAATTTATATAGAAAATATATACTTTTAACAGTGTCCGCCCCCCCCGAAGAAAGTCTACCGCCCCCCCCCCCGAAAATTTCAAGTGCCCCCCCGGAGAAAAAAGTCTGGAAGAAACACTGAGCACATACGGCGTGGTAGTCTGAATTAAACCAGGTATACGGTGATCTCTGTATGAAACTATGGACAACCAGCGTGACGAAATTTAAAAAAAAAAATTGAAATTTGATATTGAACTCTGATGCCCCTCCCGTGGTGATACTGTGATACTACTGCAGTCTTTCTTACACGGTTATTAAAGATAGTACATTATAAAATAAGTAGTTTGTCCACTAACGATCTAACGCTATTTTTTGGACGATTTCCCACCCCCTTCCCTACATACATTTAATGTGTTTTTTTTTCTTTCTCGTAGGCCCTATGTATCCATCACAATTAAGTTTTACGTGTGTCGTGTCAGCGTGTTATACACCACATGGCTCGTTGTCTTCAGCCTGCTTTTTCTAGATTTGCTTCCACAGCCTTTGTCAACCCAAGAACAATCTGCCAGTTGTTTTAACTGATAGATAAGTTGCTGTCCCCAGCTAGTTAAACACATTAGCCAAGGGTCCGAACTCGGGACTTTCGACTTAGCAAACATACACTCTCTTTTCCGACCACGCCGTCCCTAAACGTTATTCAAAAACCAAATGTAAAATATTATTTTAGTAGGCGTAACCGTAAAGTTATCGTACACAATTTATTTAGCACGTATGGTCTGTCCTGTAAGGAGTGAGGGTGGCGTTGAAAGGTAAAGGCCCTGGGCTAGATGCTGTGATATTAACAGCATTTCTACAAGTAAAGACCGCATGCTTTGGTTAAAAAATTAACAAAATACAATGCAGGCTTTTGAAATATTCTCAACTGAATGTTTTTAAAACATCACAGCATCCATTCTTTGACTAAAACATATTTTTATTTTTTTATTATTATACATACAATCAGTCAGCATTAGCTATATTTTTATATAATTTTATTTTTAAGCACCGCCCCAACAACTGCCAAAAAAAAGCATAGAATATAATTGAAATGAATCATATTTCGGCGTTAATCTTTATCCCTGGTCACATGCGCGCCCCGACCCCTATTAAAGAGATAACCGATAGCCATTCATTGCACGGACGTGTTGTATTGATTCATTACGAACCTGACACGGCAACGCCCTTTTACGCATTCGCAATTTTTAATTCAAAGCGTACAAAAAAATTCAGTCTAACTACCGCCCTCTATGCTAAGCCGCGATCGTCCTTGATATTGAAATACATTCCATTGAAAGGTTAAAGACGACTCCTTCCTTTATGTGCATTTAAAAAATCCCAACGAGATAACGGCATATCAACCGTGCGACGCAAGTCAATGCCTCCATTCTGCAAACAAATTGGCGGTTTATTCATTCTGTCGCGTAATACGTTTTTAAATATAGATAACTTCGGTTGAGTTAAGTGGTAGTTATCTAACTTGAGTTATGGTATCTATTTTTATAATGCGAAGAGGCGGTAGGGCGGGCTGACATTTTGGCGAGATGATGTTAAGTTTTTAAATCCCGACTAGAGAGGTTTTAACGGTTGATTACTAATCGTCTGCTCAAACGACAATTCTGCTTTACATTTGAAAGCTGCAAATTAGGCTAGGCTTAAGCTGTAGGTAACATAACTGAAGCCGGTCGGGTGGCGGGGTGGAAGGTCAATAGAGATGACGAGGTCTGATGATAGCTTTGGCATATTCGTTTAAAGACGAGCTAAAGTGTCCGACACACTGTGTCTGGTTAGAGTGTGTCCAGATAATTGTACACTCACTGTCCACGTGGTATAGCTAGTATATCCTTCAGCCTTTTTTCTCCGTGGGGGGGGGGGGGGTCCACTTGCAACTTTCGGGTGGAGGGGGTTGGGGAGCGGACACGAATTAAAGTGTATATTTTCTGTATAAATTCTATTTTGTTAGGGGGGGGGGGGGGGGGGGGAGTTGGCGGTGCCCCCCCCCCCCCCCCCCCCCCCCCCCCCCCAAGAGATGCCTGAAAGATACACCGGGTATAACCCGAACAAACTGTGTCTGACTCATTGTACACCCCATTGTGCCCGTAGTAATACAACTTGATAAATTGTGATAAGTCGTCGACCCTTGAGGAAACTTCTCGAATTTTCGTATAGAAACGACCCCTTGAATACCTGGCCACTGTACATTAGATAGTTCTGTACTATAGGTCTATTCTACACACACAAAAAAACAACAACCCAGGGTGATACCTCCCCTCCGAAACGATAATGTAATTGACGTATAAAAATATTAAAAACTACAGAACATTTTGGTATCACCCCCTTCCCGAATGGTGGCGTCTTGAGCCTTATTACGTATATAACTTTGTTAAGCTACTAAATTAGCGCAGCTTTTCGAATAAAAGTTAGTTATATGGCGTCTTTCTGAGGTCATTTTATTTAAGGGGAAGTGGGGTGAGTCCTGCCTTGGTCGCCATCCGTTTCCAAATCCTTGTTAAGGACATTGGCGATTCCAGTTTATCGAGGGGTTGGGAGCAGTTTCTTGCAGTCATCTCTTCTGGGAGGGGGGGGGGGGGCTGAAGTTTTTTACCTAACTTTACACACATATATGCTATATATGTATATATATATATATATATATATATATATATATATATATATATATATATATATATATATATATATATTCTCCAAGATAGTTGTAATACATTGCAGGAGTATGTCGGGGAGAGGGGATTAACAGCCGTTGATTCGCATATGGCTAAGGGTTGAATGAATGGCCTACTTATTAAATACTTTCAGGAGTAGGGCAGAGTGTTAGACTAAAATTAGGGCGTCTAGGATCAGTTATTGCCGCGTAATGGCCATCTGGTACATTCTGTCGGGAAAACAAGCTCATGTAGATCTAGTCTCTCCTTCCTCGTCGCTACTTCAACATTTAACTACGAGAATATTTGGCGTATTGTGTAAATACCGAGATGTTAGAAACTAAGTCTATATTAGCCAAATACTCGGTGTGAATTGACAGATCTATAGAACATAATACGTTCTGTTTCTAGAACTTGCGTGGCTTTGTGACACTCATGCGCCGGGCAGGGCAAACTTGCGGAATGTTTCGATTGATACTCTAGCCGTCGCGTCTGCCGACATGACACGTGGTATGTCGCTGAGCCGGTGTCACAGATGTTTTGACCGCCGTTCAGTGCGGCCGGTGTTCGCTAAGGACAGTACACTGTGACAAATACTGGATGCTTTCAGTATGGTGAAGGGAAATGGCGGGGGGGGGGGGGGGGGGGTGTCGATTATTGCAATATAGTGTTTTTCTAGCGTGTGAGAGGTGGGCTATTATCAAAAAGACGCAAACGATCTTCTAGTTGTCCTGTATTATCCTCTCCTGTAACGTTTAAAGTGGGCCCTATATGTTTTTCAGATACGACATCAGGGGTAGAATGGCTATGCCCAAAAGCAAAGGCATAGCGACTTATTCCG